TGGATCGCGGTGCTGTGCGCTCCCAGGGAGCGCGCACAGCTAGAAAAGGCGGGTGCCGTTTATGAACGGCAACCCGACCCTGGACTGCCACCGCCCTGCCGTTTATAAACAGCAGGCGGACGGCAAGTGGTTAAGGGCCCGTGTCAAAATGTGTTGGTTTGCTTTTTTGAGAATGCAAAACCTATTTGAAGCAGGTCAAATGCGGATCAAAAGGTCAAATGCAGATCAATGCACTTGTCAGTGATCTCAGAAATGTCTCAAACTGATGTCAAACTGACACCAATGTCACAAGCCCAAATCCCAAAACACAATCCCTTATTGTTATATAGACCTCAGTGAGCCTCTACTGCTATATCTCCTATGTTATTACCTAGACAGAGCATCCAAGGCCCTTCATCTCGTTTTGTGTGCAGAGACTGCCACCCTGCTTACTGATGAGCAAATTCCTCATGCTTATCCATCCTCTGGGCATGTTCACACTGTTGGTTTAACCGGTTCAGGGAGTTGAAGGGATTACAAGAGGCTGATATAATTTGGAGCTACAGAAGTATCCTTGCTCTGTGTAATATAATGTAATAATTACACAAGTGAGTTTATTAGTGTTGTTTTGTTTTTTTTAATATCTTTACAAACTTAGCATTAAGATTCTGATATAATTCATTCACCTTAGAGATATACGGACTGGTGTGACCAAATATAGCAGAGAGATAAAAAAAATAAACTTGGAAACCAATGTGTGAGTGTTGCATCCAGCTAGGTCAAATGTGTATAGTGCTCTTAAAAACTTGAAGAAGTAGATTAAATTTTTTTCACCCAACGTCTATGGATAATTAACTTTCCATAAGTTCTGAATTGTATAGGGAAGGGCTAAAGCCATGTTAGATAATGTTATGCCGTTTGTGCCCCATTGAGGAGATTCCCCTTTACATCCTGTCTCAGACACGCAACAGGAAGTTAAAGGAAACCTCTCCAAAATGACGGCAATTCCCCTCTTAGACCATCATTCCTGTAACAAGTATTCCTAATGCAAGATTTTCCTTCAGCTCTTGTTCTCAGGACAACTCTAAAGTTTTAGATTTCCCATTACTTTCTGTTTCAGTGATAGTAGTCACCAATAGAGAAATGAATCTCTAATATGGTGGCACCAATAGAAAATTCATTCAGGATCTAACCCTTCCCCGCTCTATCCAAAATGTAGAAAAAAGGTTTTCTCTCTACATACACTTTAAGTTCCCTGATTCAAACCACAGCCCAGCATCTATATTACTTAACAAGAAAGTGAGTTTGCAGTATCAGTTAGTACAAGAACATACAGCCTGACAACATTACAGGAACAACAAACCTATAACATTTTTTTACAGGCCTGAGACCTGTGGTACACTCCTGAGATGGTGAGGCTTACTAGCCCATTGTGTCCCCTAATTAAAGTGCCCCTAGCCTTTGATCTACCCCTTCTGTAGAATTACGTGGGTATTTGCTAGTGTGTTCCCAATGATAATAATTTTAAATGGATTGTACAAAGTATTTAAACTTCATATTTGAATTGTCCTGTATGGATAATCTCTTCTGACGAAGAGTCACTTTTACGCAAAAATAACATTTAGTTAAATTAAATCCACTTGCTAGGCCTGAAGAACAGACCTTGTGACCATTAGGCCTTCATCCAGATGGGCAGAGCAGCCATGTGCAGCATGGGTAAGCGTGGTCTTTCCTCATCCCTTTCAACTCTGTTTTCTTTCACAATTAGACGAGCACACATCAGAGAAAAGGATTACGCACAGATTTTATGTAATGGATTAACAGACATAAGCTTCTTACTGTCCTCTATGGACCAAAATAACCACTTAGGTAGTCTGTGGGCTTATTATTTAAAGCAGAAATACTTAAATAAGCAGGAAGAGATGCTCATTTGACTCTGTAGGGAGCCCACTTAACACTGGTTTACAACAGAAAGAGTCAGGTAAGTTGTTTTTGCTGAAAGTTTTAATTTAAAATGACATTTGTTAGAATAATTTTATGATTCTAACTGACTGTAAATGGCACAATTGTCATATGAATTAAATCAAAGTCTACATTTAGTTGGGCTAGAGCTTGGTAATTCCTGATACATGTATCGCTAGGTGTGTTTGTGACAAGGGGTCTGCCAGGCTGGGAATGAAAGTCACATTAATGGTTTAAACTGCTTTGAATACCAAAATCAAATACATTTAAAATGGGTTCAGTTATTTACAACGATTTCTTGGAAAATCAGCATTAGATCCATCGGAGCTTAGAAGTATCCCACAAGAGAAAGATACAAATGTAAAGTATTTTGCAGATTACATTGCTTATCATGTTATTTGGCCATGTGTTTCTGCTTCAAAAAGGTTTTATGTAACTTTTAGTAGGAACTGAACAAAAGGAACAAAGAGTACATTCTGTATATCATAAGCCCTTGTTGGGGGTCACTTTGCTTAGTGGTAATGGCTTTGCTATGTTGATTTTGAATACCCAATCATGTACTGGGGAACCTAATTTTTGCTTGCACATGATTGGATGATTAGGTAAAAGTACCCCAATCTTATTCACTAAGATTATTTATTAGATTGTACGCTCCCTGAGGAGCATACAATCTAAGGTCCCTAACTCACATTGATACATACACATACTAGTGACAATTTAGACCGGAGCCAATTAACTTACCAGCATGTCTTTGGAGGTGGGAGGAAACCAGAGTACCCGGAGGAAACCCACGCAGGCACAGGGAGAACATGCAAACTCCAGGCAGGTGGTGTCGTGGTTGGGTTGACCCTAGTACTGCCAGGCAGAAGTGCTAACCACTTAGAAACTGTGCTGCTAAGATAGGTAAGATAGATTGGTGTTTTCTACTCATTTAGTAATCTGTATTTTAAAATAAGTATTAAAACCAGGCATTGTATTGGAATACTAGTATTAGAAAACTGGAAGTATCCTATGTACAAAAACAGCTCTCTCTATACAAATGGTGTCTATGACACCACTCTCATTTGCCGGAGCTTATCAGTAGGGGTACACATGCTTCATGGGATCTGCATTAAACACCCTGGCAGCAAGCTGTAATATAATAACTAATAGATAAAGAAGAAATCAGAGCTTTATCTGTTATCAACATAAGATACAAATTATGTTTTAAATAGCACTAGGTCTTGCTTAATCCATATATAGTTGTATTACTTTACAACATAATAAGGATTCTTTATTTTCATGACTTTTGCACTGCATTTTGCAGCACAACAGAATGCATTGGGAAATATCAGCATAATTGCAATAGTGTCATGCAGCTGTAAAAGCAAAATCTTGCTTACCCTTGGAGAATTGGTAATATACTGTACAGTATATTACCATTTTTAAAGAAAACACGAGGGAGCAGGCAAAACACATTTCTTTTATTTCTTATGGGAGTCATATTCATCTCTAGGTCATAAAGGAATGGTGCATTCATAAAACAAAACATGGCAACAAGTAAACAAATGAAATGACCCCTGTTCAAAAGTCTGCATACCCTTAGTTATCAATACTGTGTATTGCCCCGTTTAGTTGTCTATGAGGCACAGAATTCTTGCAGGTGGTATAGTTGCCCATTCATCTTGGCAAAATGCCTCCAGTTCATGCAAAGTCTTTGATCATTTGCATGAATCGGACATGTGAGATCTCCCCAGATTGGCTCGATCATATTAGGGTCAGGAGATGGTGATGGCTACTCCAGAACCTTCACCTTTTTCAGCTGTAACAACTGGAGGGTCAACATGGCCTTGGGCTTAGGGTCATTGTCATGCTAAAAAGTCCAAGAGCGTCTTATGCACACCTTTAGTGCAGAATGCAAATTGTTTGCCAGAATTTTCTGATAATATGCTGCATTCATCTTGCCATCAATTTTCACAAGATTCCCCATGTATTTAGAACTCACACACCCCAAAAACATCAGTGAGCCACCATGCTTCACTGTGGGGATGGTATTCTTGTTGCTGTTGACCCCTCTCTAAAAAGTAGCGACTTTGGTGACCATAAAGTACTAATTTAGTGTCAAGGTGTTGTTGGCATATTGTAACTGGGCTTTTTTGTGGCATTGGCACAGTAAAGGCTTCTTTCTGGCAACTTGACTATGCAGCTAATTTTTGTTAAAGTATCATCATATTGTGCTCCTTGAAACAACCACACTGTCTTTTTCCAGAGCAGCCTATATTTCCCCTTAGGTTACCTGTGGGCTTTTCTTTGTATCACAAACATTTCTTCTGTCAGTTGTGGCTGCAATCTTTCTTGGTCCACTTGACCGTGGCTTGGTATCAAGAGATCCCTGAATTCTCCATTTCTTAAAAAATGATTAAACAGTACTGACTGACATATTCATAAGTCAAACTCATTGACTTTGCATACGAGAGCACAGACACTAATTGCAATTTAAAAAGCCACATATGTGGGAAATTAACTTTTAATTGCCATTTTAACCTGTGTGTGTCTCCTTGTGTGTCTGTACCAAGGCCAAACATTCCAGGGTATGTAAACTTTTGATCATGGCCATTTGGGTGATTTCTATCATCATTAGGATATAAAAAGGAGCCAAACACAACTATGTGATAATAATTGGCATCATATGATCACTATCCTTAAATAAAGGAGGTTTCTTTGACATGATCAGTCATATTTTCAATATCAGTGCCAAAATTTTACGAATTCTGTCAGGGTATGCAAACTTTTGAGCACAACTGTACTATACTTATAGCTTGTATTTTACATGCGTTTTTTTTTTTAAACATTTCACTGTTATTAAGAGAGTAAATTCTTATAGCAAGCATATAAAGGGAAGAGAAAAAAAAGACAAAAGTAATTAAGTCTTTTGATTTTAGTTACCTAGGTAACATATATGATTTAAACGTCTATTTAAAATGTTGCCTATTTGTACAATCTAAATGACAATAGATAACATTATTTGCTGCATATTATACCTGCTTTGTCTTATGAAAACTGTTTTATTTTTTTCTAGAATGAAGTGTTTCAAGTATTTCTTCCTTGCTGCACTTATTACCATTTTTGAGCACTGTAGAGCCCAGACCTGTGTGGTAGATAATTTTAAAGTGAAGGATGACTTTGAGTTGACAAGGGTAAGATGTGTTTTTATTAGAAAGTAAAGCTCATTAAAAAATGATGTACTAAATACATATAAGAGGTGATTTAATAAAGAAGTCATATCTATGCTGGTAAGGTAGACCCTTCAACACCTCTGATGTGATCACCTATACACTTTGAATTGGCACAGAAATTAGAACAATGTCAGAATAGCAATTTGATATTCTGCACTTTTGAATGAAAAAGCTCATTGCACATATTCATAGCTGAACTTCTACAGCTCAGTAAAGACGTGAATGAAGATTATTCCCCATGTCACATGTGCATGAGTGAGCGAGTGATTCTCAAAAATACAACATGCATAATTTTTTTTAAGATTTCTGTGCCTATATTTGCTGACCAATGAGAGCACAAAATGCTACAGTCAGCAATTTGTCAAATAAATCCTTCCCCTTCATGTCTGGGTGATGGGGGAGACCACGCTCCATTTCGGTGTAAGCTAAACTGATGCACGTAACTAAGTGCTTATGTGCCATCACTCTTAAAGCACATTGGTTGAGTATCCTTTCTTCATCCTTAGCACGTAGGTCCATGTTATTCTACACCAATCAGTCATAACATTATGTTGGCCCACCTAATATTGAGTAGGTCCCCCTTTTGCCCCCAAAACAGCCCTGATGTTTGGCAGCATGGATGCCACTAGACCTCTGAAGGTCAACAAGCTGTCAGTAGCAGATCCTTTAAGTCCCATAAATTGTGAGGTTGGGCTCCCATGGATTGGACTTTTTTTTCCCACAGATGCTTGATGGATTAAGATCTAGAGAATTTGGAGGCCAAGTCAACATCTTGAAGTTGTTGTTCTTCAAAGCATTGTTGAACCAATTTTCCAGTGTAGCAGAGCGCATTCTCATTCTGAAAGAGGTCACTGACATCAGGGAATACCGCTTCCGTGAAAGGATGTACTTGGTCAGCAACAATGTTAACATAGGTGACACATGTCAATGTAACATTCACATGAATGGCAGAACCCAAGGTTTCCAAGCAGAACATTGCCCAAAGCATCACACTGCCTCCGCCAGCTTTCTTTCTTCTTAGACTGCTTCCTGGTGCCATCTCTTCTCCAGGTAAGCAGCACACATGCACCCAGCCCAGGGGCGGACTGACAACTCATGGGGCCCCCGGGCAATAAGGGATCATGGGGCCCCTGTGTCCTTGCCCAAACTCAAAAAAGCCTATGAAAAAGGTACCAGGGGCATTTCATGGGGCCCCCTACTGACCCCAGGCCCTCGGGCAATGCCCGAGTTTCCAAATGGTCAGTCCGCCCCTGACCCCGCCATTCACATGCTGTAAAAGATTCATCAGACCAGGTCACCTTCTTCCATTGCTTCAAGGTCCATTTTTGATGCTCACATATCCATTGTGGGTTCTTTTGGCTGTGGACATGTTTCATCATGGGCACCTTGACTGGTCTGCGGCTACACAGCCCTATATACAACAAACTGCAATGCCCACATCAACTTCATGGACAACATGTTTGCTTGCTGCCTAATATATCCCACATCTTCCAGATACCATTGTAATTAGATAATCAAGATTATTCACTTCACCTCAAAGTGATCTTAATGTTATGGCTGATCGGTGTATAGACAATTGCAGTGGGCTTTTTACATCAGTTTGAGACAAATTATGAACAATCTTAGGCACATTAGCAATGCAGCTGACCTCCTTCAGTTGTCTTTGCTTTGCCATATATTAGTATTGGGAGAAAAGCCATGTTAAAACACATACAAGCCTGTCCACAATTGCTTTCACTTGTTTGTTTTTTGTTTTCTGCCTTACTTGGTATTCTTTCACCTTTTTCTGCCCTTCGCTCAATAGTTTTCTGATTTTACATGTTTGAACAATGAGCTTTAGTGGGAAAATTATATTGTTTTTATTTACTCGTATACATTTGAACTTTTTTTTTTATTTATGCACATAATTTAAAGCGGTAATAAACCCAAAACAAAAAATGTAATATATTTCAGCTTAATAATCATTAGATGTGTTGGCTGCATTAATTTTCCTTTTTTTATGCTTTATTCCCTCCATCTTCACCTGGTGATCTGGCCAGTAACACACCTCCAGTAAGGCTAGGTTCACATCTGTGCAGGTGGTGCCGCTGCGGATCTGCACGAAAATCCTTGCAGCCACACCACCGACACAGAGAAATGCAGACCCGTGGATGGGTGCCATTATTTCTAATGGCATGTCGCCCGCACTGGAAAACGCAACCGTACTGGGAACTGAGGTTCCCGTATGGGCTGCATTTTTGGAAGAAGTGCAGGGACTTCTTCCCTGCGTGTCACGGGGCACGAGAGTCCATACAAATAAATGGGCTCTCGCGCCCATGCAAAACACAGTTCGCACAGCTGCATGTATGTGAACCGGGGCTAATAGAGTGCTCCCACTCCGGATGAAGGCACACAGGGGCACCTTTGGACAACAAAATGATCAGTCTGGGGGGACGGTAGTGTTAAATGTACTAGTAGATTTAAATACACTAACAAATTGAAACCAAACTCTAGCTCACACTTTATAGTCAGTTACAGCAAACATTTTTTTTTTCCTTTTGGGATAAAGGTTTTACATGAACAAATAAAAGCTGATCATTGCAAGCACCCCTGCCAGTGTTGAATAGTTTGTCACATCCCTGTAATTGAAACCTCCACAAAAGAGCTTGTTCTTTTGAAACAACAGACTTACTGGCTGTATCAACAGATGACAATAGAAGAAAAAAGAAATATAATGCAGCCATCACATCTAAGAATTGGTAAATTGTGACACTAGAAATGTTTGCTTTTGGGCTTACATAGTTACACAGGTAATCTGGTTGAAAAAAGACACAAGTCCATGCAATTCAACCAACAGATAAAAACAAAAACACACATAAATAGAAAACCCCCATATACACTATCGTCTAGCAAACACAAATGCTCCTGAGCTTGGGGATGGACTCGATGCAGGCTACAAGCACATTAAGAATGTCCTGGAACATGCACACCTTGCTGCCCTCAAATGGACCGGGGAAATCCAAATATACTGAATGAGGAAAGAAAAAACAGAGGGCGCACAGGCCTAGTGCATTACCATAAAAAATGTTTAATAAAAAATAAAGTATGTGCTGTACTCACAAACAACAATATAGTCAAGGCACATCATAAAGAACAGCTGGGCCAACACCGCGCTGAGTAACAGTTCACAATAGGGAATATAGACATCCAAAAGGCTGATGCGTTTCAAGGAAGAGGCAAGTCCTCGAAACGCGTCAGCTTTTGGATGTCTATACTCCTATTGTGGACTGTTACTCAGCGCGGTGTTGACCCAGCTGTTCTTTATGATGTGCCTTGACTATATTGTCGTTTGTGAGTACAACACATACTTTATTTTTTATTAAACATTTTTTATGGTAATGCACTAGGCCTGTATACACTATCCTCTACCCACAGTTGATCCAGAGGAAGACAACACTCCCAATAAAGCATGATACCATTTGCTCCAACAGGGAAAAATAATTCCTTCCCAATCCCCCAAGAGGCAATTGGATATTCCCTGGATCAACTTTTATCTATAAATATTAGTATCCAGTAATATTATGTGCATTTAGGAAAGAATAAAGGCCTTTTTTTAAACAATCTACTGAGCTGCCAGAACCAGATCTTGGGGGAGTCCATTCCACATTTTCACAGCTCTTACTGTAAAGAATTCTTTCCGTATTAAATCTCCTTTCCTCCAGAAGTACAGCGTGCCCCCTTGTCCCCTGTGATGAACTTAAAGTGAATAACTCTACACTGAGTTCACTATATGAACCACTGATGTATTTATACATGTTGATCATATCCCCCCTTAATCTCCTCTTCTCAAGAGAGAATAAATTCAGTTCCTCTAATCTTTCCTCATAGCTGAGCTCCTCCGTGTCTCGTATCAGTTTGGTTGCCCTTCGCTGCACTGTTATAGCATGCTTATGTTTTAGGAATTTATTCTATATTAACCCCTTCCCATCGCTGGCTCTTTAGGTAGATTTAAATGCTGGGAGGCGGAGGCACTTATGTATTCAAATATTAGGGGTAAGCTAGTAACATTCTCTACACTTTTCACTAGTATGCAGGGAAATGGTACGCTGTCGGGAAAAAGGACCCTGAAGGCCTGTTTCTGCAAGATAACATCTCTGCTGAATACACAATAGATGAGGACGGTACAATGACGGCATCATCCAAAGGCAGAGTTAAACTTTTTGGGTAAGTAATACTGTTATTTGGGCTGCACATTGGATTTTTTTTTAACGTTTTATTGGAAATTCAAGCAAAATGCTTTTCTTTTTTGGTTAGAACAGGAAATAGCTTCAACTTTTTTTTCTAGTTGTTATTGCTTTAGAGATTCCCTCTCATATTTTCCTAGGTCAGCATGTGAGAGAAAATCTTGTTTTACAGTTGTCAGAGGTATACAAGTAAAGGAAAAATCTTCCAACAAGAATAGGTGTTCCAGGTGTTTTCCTTTACACTCTGACGTGTCTCCAAGACAGGATGTGAGGGGAAATCTCACAAAATTAATAGTTTATTTATTACAGGTACTGACAGTATATAGCACTGTTAATTTACACAGCACTTTACATATTTATTATACATTCACATCAGTCCCTGCCCTCAAGGCGTGTACAATCTAAGGTCCCTAACTCACATTAATACATACTAGGGACAATTTTGACAGGGGACAATTTCCCTACCAGCATGTCTTTGGAGTATATGGGGAAACTGGAGTACCCAGAGGAAACCCACACTTTCACAGGGAGAACATGCAAACTCCAGGCAGCTAGTGCCATTGTTTGGCCAGTGGTTGGGATTTGAACCGATGGTCCTAGTGCTGCTAGGCAGAAGTTCTAACCACTTAGCCACTGTGTTGATTAATATTTTAATAATATTTTTTCAGTACCATTTTAAATGCTATAAGCTTTGCTCACCTTTAAAATGTAGTGTTTTTCATTTTTAAAAGGTAAACCTGCTCCCAGTTTCAGTGAAATAGAGAGATATTTTGTGTTACTACATGCCATAACAGTTTTAAGTTAGCTTTATCCACCCTGTGGAAAGCAAACCAGAACTTCATAACAGGATCTGTAACAAAGGTAAATGCCAGTGAGAAACGCTTCAGATGGAAGCTTCCAATCTTGATTCACACACTGTATGCCAATTCCCAGGCATTGATTGTGGACCTATTTAGCCTCTTGCAGCCCAGCCACTGCATTAAAACGGTGGCAGGGCGGCGCGGCTGTGCAAAAGCACGTTTTTAAACATGCTCCGTACTCCTGAGGTTTTCGAGGGCAAAGGGGGCGCGCACGCGCCCCTGCCGACCCGCGGCTGTCACCATTTGATCCCCGAGGGATCAATCATTCAGTTTCAGCCAGTGATGTCCGGCTGATATCGGATGATCGGTCCCTGTCCTATCCTGTCCTGTGTTAACAGTTACACAGGACAGGATATGATGTCATTCTTCGCTGCCTGGGCACATTCCGTCCCAGAGAGAGAAGAAGACACAGTAAAACTAAGTAAAACACTACACATTTACAGTTAGAACACACCTAGGTCACATTTAACCCCCTGATCGCCCCCCCAGGTAACCCCTTCACTGCCCTGTCACCAGTGTCATTGATCACAGTGAACAGATTTTTACTGATCACTGTATCAGTGTCACTGGCCACTTCCAATAGTGTTAGCGCCCCTCCCAGATAGCGCCAGTTTGCCCGCTAATACACCAGTAGTCCCATTTAACCCCTTGATCGCCCCCCCAGGTAACCCCTTCACTGCCCTGTCACCAGTGTCATTGATTACAGTGAACAGATTTTTACTGATCACTGTATTAGTGTCACTGGCGACTTCCGATAGTGTTAGCATCAGTTAGCGCTCCTCCCAGATAGCGTCAGATTGCCGCTAGTACACCAGTAATCACATTTGACCCCTTGATTGCCAGGAACACGCTCACTTTGCACGCTAAACCTCCATTGCTAGTATAGTGTCTGATTGGATCAATATCTTTGATCAGATCAGTGCTATACCAGCGTTCACATTACTATTGTATCCCCAAAAACGCAGCGTTAGCGGGATCAGCCCCGACACCTGCCAGCACCTGCGTTTAGACCCTACGCCCCCCCCCTTCTCCCCTAGCAAGTGCAGTGTCAGTAGATAACTGTCACTTGATACATTACACACAAAACCGCAGTGTTCACAGAATCAGGCCTGATCTCTGTTAGCACTTGTTGGTAAATTTTTTGTAGCGGTTCAAGCAGTCCCTGACAGCCAGGCGCTCTTTTTCCCGTGAGTCGCACTAGTTACCTATATATTTAGTGGCCAAAATGGCTGTATAGCAAAAGATGGCATAAATTACAGTATCTATACCATAGTTTGTAGACACTATGACTTTCGCACAAAGCAATCAATATACACTTATTGGGATTTTTTTTTTACCAAAAACAAGTAGCAGAATACATTTTGGCTTAAATTTATGACTAACTTTGAGTTTACGATATATTTTTTATAGCCGAAAGTAGAAAATATTATATTTTTTTCAAAATTTTCGTCGTTTTTTTTTTTTTAAAGCGCAAAAAATAAAAAGCGCACAGGTGATCAAATACCACCAAAAGAAAGCTATTTGTGGGAGGACATAAATTTCATTTATGTACCGTATTGCATGACCGCACAATTGTCAGTTAAACTAATGCAGAGCTGTATAGCAAAAAATGGCATAAATTGCAGTATCTATACCATAGTTTGTAGACGCTATAACTTTCACACAAAGCAATCAATATACACTTATTGGAATTTTTTTTTACCAAAGACATGTAGCAGAATACATTTTGGCTTAAATTTCTGACTAACTTTGAGTTTACGATATATTTTTTATAGCTGAAAGTAAAAAATATTTTTTTTCAAAATGTTCGTGGTTTTTTTTTGTTTATAGCGCAAAAAATAAAAAGCACACAGGTGATAAAATACCACCAAAAGAAAGCTCTATTCATGTGAAAAAAAAGGACGTAAATTTTGTTTGGGTACAGCATTATCAGTTGAATTAGTGCAGCGCCAAACAGCAAAAAAAGGCCTGGTCATTAAGGGGGGTAAATCCTCAGGAGGGCAAGTGGTTAACATTACTCCAATTGAAACAGAGCATATTGGTGACTAAGCACGGACAATTCAATCCTGATTCAGCTATTGCCTACAAGGTATGAATAAAAACTAGGCCTTACACAAGTATTTTCCACCAATGGTTCTGTTTTCTATGGGGAAAAGGAGCAGTGTTAACTGGAGGTGCACAACTTCATTGTCTGAAAGTATGTCATAGCCAGGTTGGCAGAGCTGCATTGGTTTGAGGATGGGCACATCCTGTCTTTTGAAAGAGGCTAGGGCTTTACTGATCCAGCCAAATTTCTATTATGTAAACTGAATGAATACATTTGTGAATTTTCACTAGGTAAAAGTAACCCCCCTATAATAGTTATAGAGGCTAATAAGTTAGAAAATAATGAGAGAAATTTATCGGTGGCAGCCTTAAATGTAAAATATGTAATATGCTACAAAACAGATATGGCGTGTTAAAAGAGTAGTGATAGGCAAATCTGGCAGGGTTCACTTTGCCAATCTTCTTTGAAATTCAGCAAACCCAAACTTTAGGTTTCTAGGGACAGCTGATTTTGTAGTTAAATTCTAGCCATTTTTAGGTTTAATACTATGAACTATGGTGCACCAGGGAGAGGGTTTTTTCATGTAGCTTTGAAGGCAAACACTTAACCTTTTCACTGTCAGAGTTTGAAATGCACATTTTAGGTCTATAGATTAATTTAAAGTATTATATTTTTCTAAGAGACGCAGTGGAAGAACATCATGACAGTTGCAATTTTTTGTCACACAATAATTGTGCTACTGCTTATGAAACATATATTTTTAGTAAAAAATTCACTTTTTTTTGGGAAAAAGATAAAAGAAGGGGTTATGTCTGGTAAACAGATACAAAATAAATCAGGTTTCAAAATGTCATGCACCATAAAACTCGAAACAATTGAGGTACCCCAAATTGTCCATAGGCAAAGCTTTAGGGGCCTATATAAATTTCAGATTAAAGTTTGTGTTCATATGTGCGTGTACATATACACAGGGGCTTTTACTTTTTGTTTTTTTTAAACTTATTTTATTGAGCATTCTGTTTTATTAAACGTTTATATATTAGACCCAAATATCACTTCTGCACTTTCTTGAAAATTCTTTCCTGTCCAGAGCAGTGGGAGGTTGACAGTGCTGAACCCAAATGTGCTCAGCACTGAGAACTTCTGGGATCATACTATTTAGGGAAGACTGGTGGATTGATGGTTTGACCTCTCCTTGCTCTCCATCTTGACACTCACCATGGAGTCCGAATCACATGGCAGTGAAGGGGACAACACATTTCTAGCATTTATTGCCTTTTACTGCTCTAACACATCTAAAATGGTAAAATATGACTGACTGCTATAGGTAACTATAAAATATTTGTAAAACTCATTTCTATAAATGCCCTATGTTAGTTGCCTATCTATCACTATGATCAGCTGACATTGATTGTGAGCATGTTGTCCTAAACAAGAACACAGATCAGGATTTCCCTTTGACTTAACTTGATACAAACAGTTACACAAAAAATATTGGAAGCAATAGCAGCCAGGCAATTACCAATAATTTTATTCTATGTTTATCAGGGTAGGTTTCTATTCACTGTACCAGCAGATAAAACAGTTCTCATAAAGCCTAGTACACACAATCAGAAAATGGTACGAAAAATACAGCTTTCCAAGCAATCATACAATAATCTGATCGTTAGTACACAGCTTTCGTCCGAAATTATTTCAAGGGACAAGCACAACTTTTTCTTGCACGATACCAGATCGTACAATTTTTGTTTACTCAGTACAGTTTTCATTCAAAAATACAATACAAATACATTACATCACATCTGAATTTTCTTTCTGTTTTTGTAACTTTAGTAACCTCTTCACTTTTGATATCAGACTAGCATGCAAACCCCCCCCCCCAAAAAAAAACGGACAATCATTCGTCCAATATTCTAATTGTGTGTACAGGGCTTAACAGGATAAACTGCTTGTTAAAACACTTTGTTTTGTCTGATGTATCAAACAATTACTATTCTGAAGTAATTAAAGGTAAAATCCTTTTACAGGTTCTGGCTGATTTGTGCAGACATGGCTGCTCAGTACTCGGTACCAGACCCAACTATACCAGCTAAAATGTACATGACTTACCAAGGTTTGGCTAGCTACTTATCCAGTGGAGGTAAGCGGAGTTTACCTGAGATCGCTTCAGCTTATGTCGTACACCTTTTTGCACTTATGTAAAAGGATCTGAGACAGAACTATTTCATGCCATCAACAGCTATATTTGCACAGCGCTAGGTTCAATGGAATGACATATTTCATACTATAGTAGAAGAACGGAAGCAAGAGATCAGACTGCAATTTTTTTCCCAGGGTATAAATTAATAGCAATCATCAAAATATTTGCTATGAGCAATTAGTTTGCTCTGCTTTCTGTACACAGGATAAAAGCTTTGCTGAAACATAACATAAAATATCTCTGGCATCGGATGGTTCCATATATATGCCCCATATTAAAGAACTCATTAACCAGTGACATTATTACAGATATTGTGGGCTTCTGTACTTACATGCCATGATGCACCATAGGGTGGTGAGTGGGTGGTCTTTCTTCAGATATTGGCATGCACGGGGTGCTCCTGTGGACACCACTTAAGTTCATACACATACACCACCAGGGCCAGATGTACTGATAAATTGAAGTTACAGCTGCATGTTGGGCAGATTGATATGCCTCCAACACAATGTCTGTTCATGGCCTTTTGGCTACATAGTTAGTCTGGCTGAAAAAAGACAAAAGTCCATCCAGTTCAACCATAGAAAAAAAGGCTTTTTTGAAGCAATCCACTGAGCTGGCCAGAACCAGCTCTTGAGGGAATATATTCCACATTTTCACAGCTCTTACTGTGAAGAAACCTTTCCGTGTTTGGAGATTAAATTTCTTTTCCTCCAGACGTATAGAGTGCCCCCTTGTCCTCTGTGATGACCTCAGGGTGAATAGCTCTACACCGAGTTCACTATATGAACCACTGATGTATTTATACATGTTGATCATATCCCCCCTTAATCTCCTCTTCTCAAGAGAGAATAAATTAAGTTCCTCTAATCTTTCCTCAAAGCTGACCTCCTCCATGCCTTGTATCAGTTTAGTTGCCGTTCTCTGTACTTTCTCCAAATTCCCCAATGTTCTTTTTGTGAATTGGTGCCCAAAAACTGAACTGCATATGAGGTGTTACTAATGATTTGTACAGGGGTAATATGATACATCTCTCTCTGGAGTCTATACCTCATTTAATACAAAAGAGGATTTTGCTCCCTTTAGAAAGCGCAGCTTGGCATTCCATGCCATTATTAAGCTTGTGATCTACCAGAGCTCCCAGATCCTTCTCCACCATTGATTCCCCCAGTTGTACACCCCCTAGCAGGGGCGGACTGACCATTTGGAAACTCGGGCACTGCCCGAGGGCCCGGGGTCAGTAGGGGGCCCCATGAGATGCCCCTGGTACCTTTTTCATAGGCATTTTTAAGTTTGGGCAAGGACACAGGGGCCCCATGATCCCCTATTGCCTGGGGGCCCCATGAGCTGTCAGTCCGCCCCTGCCCCTTAGTATGTATGAAGCATGCATATTCTTAGCCCCCAAGTGCATAACCTTACATTTATCAACATTAAACTTCATTTGCCACATAGTTGCCCAATTAAACGTCTCTGGTATGACTATGCAGAGTCAGAAACATATTAATCCACCCCACCTGCAATCCAATGAGAAAAAGAGGGATGAGGCAGCTGTTACATGGCCTGTAACACAGGTAAGTTTTGCACAGAGCTTAGGCAATGGCAGAAATAAAAACTTAACACATGGGTGCTCATGCTGCAGCTAAGCTGAGTCAGAACACTGAGGGGTGCTGAGGTTTTTTTGCCCTACTATAGCTTCTCATGTGGCTTATGATACCATCCTAATGAGTCATGATATAAATTTAAAGCAAACAAGCCTACATATCTCCTTCATTGTACCATATAGATGTAGGAGGGGATTTGTTTCTTCAGGAGAAGAAAGGGGGAATATTCGGCAATATGTTCTCAAAATTGCTTTCACCACATATTGTCACTTTTGCCAATTTGTTGCCTGATGTGCTGTCACAATCATTCATTTATTGCTAGTGAATTTTCATGATTCCCTGTTTGCTGATTGCTTATTACCAGAACTACCTGTCTGTTAAATGCATATTGCCACAGCTGCCTGTCTTTTGGCCATATATTGTCACATTTGCCTATTTGTTACCTACTTGTCACAATTGTTCATTTGCCTATGTTTTGTATTAATTGCCCATTCGCTGCCTTCATACCATAACAATTAACCAGTGCTGGGTTGAAAATAATTTTACTGTATAGAGGAGTCGCAGGGTGGGGGGTGTTAAAGAATAATTCACACAAGTTGACAAATATGCTTTGTAACCCACTGCTTACATGTTTCATTTTCATAAAACAGATCCTATAATAGGCTTGCATTTTTTAACGTGTTACTGCATAGTTAATGATGTAAGAATATTTTTTTCAAAAATGGGTGACAATGTGAAAAAATTAGTTAGGAGCGGATTTTGTTGCCAACCTGAAATTTCAATCCATAACAGAAAAATAAATGCTGGAAACTCTGGATTCTATGGGCAACATATCCATATTCCTCTGTATTAGCTTTTAAAGCTGAGTATATGAACTGATTTGCAATGTTTGTTTTTCTGCAGGAGACAACTACTGGGTCATTGACACTGACTATGATAACTATGCAATCACTTATGCTTGCCGTACTCTTCATGAAGATGGAACATGTAATGATGGCTATTCCATCATATTCTCACGCAATCCACGTGGATTTTCTCCAGCTATTACAAGGGTTGTACGCCAAAAACAGGAGGAAATCTGCATGGCTGGACAGTTTCAGGCAGTCCTTCAATCAGGTATGCTAATAATTTCATATTCTGCAAAACTTGTGTGCACACCCGCCTGTCCAACAGAAGCTGGCTGAACAGGCATGCTGGAAAACCAGCATCCGATCAGTGCAGCAGACAATGGCTGCCAGCACTGACAGGCGTTTTAGGAATTTGTTTCTCCTGCAGGAGCAAATTGGATCATGCTTTGCTGGGTTTTTTTTTGCCTTCCTCTGGATCAACTGTGGGTGTATGATTGTAACTTTAAGAAAAAAAAAAAAAAAAACTGATAGCGTGTACCCAGCATTAGACCACAAATCAGCTCACGTTTGTTCTACAGTGTGAGTTCTCCTCTCAGCACATAAATGGGCTAGCAAGATTAGCATTATATAACGAAAGAATGACACAAGATTTACATTGTGTGCCACACTATCATCACCTAAATGCTCTTTTCCTATTCATTCACGTACTAGTATGAACTTAAAGTGGTTGTAAAGTCTGAAAGTTTTTTTTTACCTTCATGCTTTCTATGCATGAAGATAAAAAACCTTCAGTATGCAGCTCCCCCTGCCATAGACCTTCCTAATACATGCCCGCGCGCCCGGTCCAGCAATGTGCACAAAAGCGGCTGCTGCTCTGGATTTCTGCCTCCATATTGGCTCAGAGACAGCAGGGGGAGCCACTGCTCCCCTGCTGTCAATTGCAGATAGTGAAGAGGGAGCAGTGGTGGGGCCAAACCGCATTCTGTGTGTCTTAAGGACACGCAGAATGGGGCTCGGAAGTGGGCACGCAGTAGTTCCCCCATAGCAAGAGACTTGCTATAGGTGCACACGACGGGGAGGAGACCAAAGCGCTAGTGGGGAATACAAGAAGAAGAGGATCGGGGCTGCTCTGTGCAAAACCCTTGCACAGAGCAGCTAGGTATAACATGTTTGTTATTTTTTTTAAAAAACATTTTAAGCCTTTAATATCACTTTAATAAAAATCTAACTAAATATAAATCTAAGTAAAACATAATAATATGTCATAAATACATAATTAGCTAACAAATGCTAGCCTAGTCACTCACTGCTGTCCAGGTAGGTGGAAAATACACACACATTTTGTTTGGAGAACAATTCAGAATTAGCTATTAACAGAAAAAAAATCCACAATGGAAAATAAAATACAAAGTCATATTTGGAAAACCATCATGTATTTGAATATTTTGCACCATAATGTACTGTATAATATTTTATAGTCAGTCATATTGCTTGCTGTACTTAAACACATGATAGAGCACTCTTCAAATGGGTAAACTAGTTCTAGTACTAGAGTTGATTTAAAAACAAGTTAGAAAACTAGGTAGTTACGAAATGTCTATGACAATCCTTTTTCTATCTGCCTAACTTTCACTGTAATGTGCTATCTTACATCTGATTGTTTTTTCTAATTGGCAACAGTACATTCTGTTCCCACAGTAATAATAAACATGTTTTTGAAAGTTAAAGGGAGCGTGTTTTTTGTAAAATAACTTGTTTTGTTTCAATACTCAGGTCCCGGGCTATTAGGCTGATAACCCAAATTTTACTTTCATTAACTGTTTTGCCATGTAACTAAGAAGCTACAACAGTTGATTGGCTGTTATGGGTTATTTTAGTTTGCACGTTAAACCTACTCTGTGCCTTCCCTAATTTTTTTTTTTTGTTTACAAACGATTTTATTGCATAAAAGTAGACTGTAAAACAACAGCATATTGTCAAATAGAACGTTCAACAATAACAAGGCACTTTTGAATAGTACAATACAGAGAAGTATATTAATGTAAGAAAGAAAAGAAAAATTAAGATTGCAGAAACATGAAAAGTGTAAATGATGAGGTAGATTAAATGATACATCTGTCAACAGTATATGCCATACGACTTTCACTGGGAATGTTATTAATCATGCAGTAGATGTCTATATTCCCTCCATGACTCCCACTTCTTATCAAATAACTGCATCCTATCCAATAGGGTATAATGAATGCGTTCCATGAGCATTACAGTATCAATTCTGTGTAAGACAGAGGTCAAGGGTACAGCATTGGACTTCCAATGCAAGGCAATAGACCACAAAGTGGCAATACATATAGTATGTATCAATCACATAATGGCATCAGAGACCCCCGGGATATGAGCCCCCAGTAAGCAGGTCTGCATAGACAACCGTACCTGGGTACCCGCCAGTGAGGTAGCCACCTCAGATAGCTTGCACCAAATCACAGATACCATCGGGCAATCCCAAAATATATGAACCAAAGTTCCCGGCCTTCCCTAATTGTATAATCTAAAATGTATAATATTTGGCAGTACCTACCAGAGCCTGGATGTTGGAGCTCCAGAGGCCCCAGCTACATCTCCTGCAGTAAACTAGGGAAACAGCATAATTGGATATAGCTGTCCACCAGCCCGAGAAAAAATTGGTGGGCAGTTGGTATCTGCCTGGAAGGTCATGCCATGTCAGTACAGATAATACAAATGGGGTGGTTTCTCTGTGCCTTTTGGGACTTTTTCAAGGTCAGTTGAAAGGATGAAGGGGGGAGGGGGTTAAAAAAACCGTTACCCTACCTAGCACCCAATTCTGCCTTAATCCATTTCAGACAGATACTGATAATTAACAACAATAAAAGTACAGTAGGGCAAAGTGCTGGATGCTTGGATGCATACTCATGTTTGATTTACTCTGTGACAAGAAGAGTACACCAAGATGCCTGTTTATATATTTTATGTGTTTTGGTTTTAATGTTTTTATTTTCCAATTAAAGCATAATTGAAAATAATTTTTCTGTTTTGTCTACAGGAGCCTGCTAGAACACATTGTTGTCAAGAACCTTTTCCTTCTCTCTGGTATAAAAAGAACCAGTCCATCTTGACAGGATGACTTAAGAAATGCAAATGTTTTTCAAATGTCAAAGTTTTTTTCAGAGTGCAATTATGTGTTTAACTGTTATTTAGATACAAATTATTGTTTGATTGTATGTAATGTGATTCCTTTAAACATTTTGTTTTTAGGTATTAATATGTCACCAGATTTTGGTTACATAGATAATCTATTGGGAAGTATGGCCAAGAAATTTTTTTGTATCATTGTGACCAATGGTTATGGATTTATTTCAGCACATATTGTATGCAAGTAAAATGGGTTATTAAAAAATGAGATTACTATGTTGCAAATTATTGTAACACCAAAAACAGTACACAGATTGTAAACAGTTTGGTAGTTTGGCATTTCAGTGTAATGATAAGGCTGACTAGTACTTGGGCATTAAAAGGTCAACGTCTGGATGAAAAAGCACTTAATTCTTATTTGCTGTACTTATAAGAATCTTTAGCAATGGTCATTCAAATTATCATTCTAGCACCTGTCAGTACACACAGACTGAAATCAGAAAGAGCCTTTATTGTAACTTTGTACATCCATACACACATAAAAACACAACTGAAATCTTTCAGTAGTGATAATCTAGGTACAATTAAAAACATTCTATTTACTTTCCATATTTAAAGGTTTGTATCTGAAAGAGGAGGCCAAGATAAACTATATTTTTACTTAATTTCCTTTTATTTATGACACAGCCCAGTAATGACTATGAGTATAGCAGCCCATAAGTACAGAAGTGAGATGTCACTGCCCCCACATACTTGTGAAAGGATGCTTCCACATACAATAAGCAACTTATGCAAGTTAACCTCCAGTACACTCACTACTATAGCTAAAAAGAGGTACCACCAATTTGCTCAAATGGCACCTAAGGACGATTTGTGCTGCTGTTCATGGTTTACACACTTTTCAGTGCACATTTGATTAAAAGAAAAATCAGTTTGTTAATATATATGCAGAAATTATACAGCACTACAGATGTATTTGGTGTTTTTACAGACCTCTTTTCTCATTATGAGGCATTATTAAAAGGTTTTTATTCAATTGATATATAACTAAGCTGATACTAGCAGGCTTATTTTTTTTTTAAATAAAAGGATATGATTTATATGATATACAAAAATCTTTAATATGCTCAGTGGTCAGATATGTGCTAATCAATTATATACTAGCCAAATGTAAAACTTTCATTTGCCAGTGCTAATAGAAAAGGCTGCCAAATATGAACCTTTCAGCGTAGCAACAATTCACCAGTGAATAATCAATGACCAAAAAAATCTCTTCTCAAATCTTTCCCACAAGACCCCCACTGGGTGCCATCATCTTGCCTCTTGTATAGCTTAAAGAGGGAGCTATCAGATTATTCATCACAATCTGTACAAAAAAGACACATCGAACGTTAAATGTTACTGATCCCTGTAGCTAGGTCAGTGGCTAAGGGGAGAAGGTAAAAATGGAGATGAAGACTTATCTGCTGATGTTTGACAAAAAGTCAAAACTTAGGTTACATCTTAGTCTGCACATTTTGGGAGAAGGAAGAGTGAGGAATATCTTCAAATGGAGTGGATTATGATGGTACTAATATGTCTACAACCTCGGGGAATTGAAAGATTCACTTTAAAACACACATCCATGGATTTTGCAGAAAATTTAATTTAACAAAACACTGAGTTCCACAAACAAAAAATTATGAATTACAAAATCCAAACCAGTGCATTAGAGACCCGTTGCAAAAATATATAGACGTTGTGATCATTATTTTTAACAAAATTGATGCTTATGTAGAAATAATTGAATAAAAAGGTCAAGTGTTTAGGAATGCTTCTATAATAATTCTCTGTACATCACTGGAAGACTGTAGGGTCCTGCTATGTTCCAGAAGTTGACAGCTCGGACTCTGTAGTATCCAGATACTACGGCAGGGTCTAGAGAGAGAAGAAGGATTTTTGGCATTCTTACAAAAACCTGTTACAATTTGTGTGTTTATCATAAAAAAGGAAATTGTTCTCTGTATTAAGGAACATTCAGAAGCCATTGGAGATTATATAAAAAGTCTAATAACAGCGAATAACTTAAGCTCTTGATTCTTATTATAAATTAGTATTATTATAGAGTATTTATGCTTGCCTTTCCTGACCTAGTGAATACTGACACTGTAACTTTGTACATCCATAAACACATAAAAACAAAAAAATTG